ATATATTTCGAACTTAGGTCTGTAAAGCCATATTAAGCTTAGGTTAACGGGACTCAATTTTGAGGTCGGTTCTCAAAATGTAAAATAAAAAAATTTGTAGATTAAAGAGAAAAATATCGTCATATACCAAATCACATCTAATTTAAGATGGTCATATTTATTAGGTTGATACAGGCTAAATTAATTAAACAATACATTTCACGAAATTTCTTAGGGTCATTTGGATCGAAGGCATACAAGATAACAGGGGTAATCTTCATTTATTTTACAAGATTCTTATGTTTGGTTTGCAAGTAATAAAATATTATAGTAATATTTTATTACAAATAATGTTTACTTTTGGTAATGTGGGGAGTAATTTATTACCTAGTTAGGGGATGTTATTAAAACATTACCGAGGTAATTTGATTTTTCTACTCATTTTACCTTTAATTAAAAACAATTTCGGACACAATTACTTTCAAATGTCAATTAAATAACAATTATCCAGCCCTCCTACATTTGAGAAATTAGCTAAAAGACCCAAGTCACAAAAAAAAAAAAAAAAAAAAAAATTTAAAAATTAACAAAATGCCCCCAGCCACCCAAGACCACTGTCAACCGTGACTCACCACCGTCGGTGTTAATCATCGTAATGGTGCACGAACAGCGAGATCTGGCTGGTCATGCACCGGTAAGGCCTTTTCCGGTGATCCATGGTCGAAAACGGTTAGATCTAGCATTTCTATGACCGTTTCATGGCCGTGAAATGATAATGTATCTGGCTGTTTTCTGGTGATCCATGGCCATTTTCGACTTTGCCAGCGCACGAGTAACCATATACAACCAATCATGTGCCATTCCGTCGACTGTTGGCAGTGGTGATGGCTATCTGTCGGCAGTAGCTTGGGGTAGTGAGGGTAATTTTACTACAAATTAAAGTTTTATATGGTTGGGGTGTTTTAGCAAAATTTTAAATGTAGGGGTTAAGAAATTATTCAAAAAATAATAATAAAAAATGCTATTATTATAATATTTAAAAATGAGGGCAATTCAATAATTTATATAATATACACACTCATTTATCCTCATAACCAAACATATTATCTAAATATTCTCAATACTTCAAGTTGATCTTTATTTCAGTTAATATAATATATTGTTATAATAAAATAGTATGTAAAAAGTTTATTTAATTTAATGGAAAAGTAGCCAACATTAGGATTCTAGGGACCAGCAACTATTTCCAGAAATTTCAGGACCATGAAATGTATTAATTAATTGACTTTTTAAAAAAGAGGTTTTTCTTAAGTTTTAAAATTAATCATATTTATTCATGCTTTAACTTAATCTAAAAATATATTCTAAGATTATCAAAAAAGTCACACATTAATAACTAAAATTCTCTCTTTATTTAAACTTTTACTAAACATTATCTTATTTTATTTAAAAATTATCAATTCTTAAATTTGTAAATTATAACAAGAGCATCATATTAAGGTACTTAAACAATAACGTTACGTTCATATGTATCATTTACTAAATTTATTATATGGAAACATAATTCTATATATATATTTAATATATGAAATAATGTTGCAAATTATAAACATAACATCAAAAGTAATTTTGGTAAATAAATTGATTCTATAACACTTCTCTAATATTATAATTAGTTGGGATATTATAATAAATATAATCTTATGCTTAATACATAATAAGACACTATACTTTATATTCTTCAAAATATAATGTAACGTTGGATTATTGTCCTAAATATAATATTATGTGTAATATATAATAAAACATTATGTTTATATTTAATTAATATATAAGTTTACGTTAGAATATTATACTAAATACAATCGTATGCGTAATATACTGTACAATAAAACATTATATTTGTATTATTTAATATAAACAACATAACGTTGGGATATTATAAAAGGTTAATACCTCCCTAAAATTAATGATCATTAATCAAATTTTAGAGAAAAAAAAAAAAAAAAACTAGGGTGGATTAAGTTTTTCCTCAAATATAATAGAGTAATACTAACCTTACAAAGAGGCATACAAAGAGACAAATCTAGCCCTTAAAAAAAGAGAAAAAAAGAGAGAGAAAGAAGCAATCAAGAATTTTAAGAGCTAGATTTGTTTCTTTGTATGTTTCTTTGTAAGGCTAGTATTACTCAATATAATAAAGCCAATAATATAAACATAATGTTTTTTTTTTTTTGTTTTTTATTTTTTTTTTTATTTTTTCACATCACGCATAAGCTTATGTTTTGTGTAACTTTCATAGATATGATTTATGCCGTATATAAAATAATATGGATAATAGGTGATGACATATAATTTGATTTATAATAAGGTATTCAACTTTTGGTTTTATTTGGTACACTTTTTTTTTAATAATATTCTATTATAAATATGATAAGATAAGATTTAATCAAATATGATAAAATTATGAGAATGTGTTGGATAAATTTTTGGAAAATATTTAGTTTATTTTTTAACCTCATATATTTATTAATTTAGCTAAACACTTTCCACAATAAAAGTTTGTAAATTAACAAAAATATCCCACCAACCCAACTGATTGGTGGTAGCCGACTACCACCGTTGGACGGTGGTTGGAAGTTGCTAAAATGTCACACGACCAATTGGATCTAGTAAAAAATGGATAGATCGGTGCACAATCGACCAGATCAGGCTGATCGTACTTTGTTACGGCATCAACAGTCGACGGTGGCAACGATGACGGCTGGTGGCTGGTGGTGGTTGCTGGCGTACGATTGTTGCTTGGATGGGTGGTGGTATTTTTGTTAATTTATAAACTTTTATTGAGAAATGTAATTGTTAAATGTTTTGAATTAAATAGAATAGGATAGTGTTATGAGAATGTGTTTGGTACTTTTTTTAAAACATTTAGATTATTTTTTAACCTCCTATATTTGTTAATTTAGCTAAATACCCCCACAATAAAAAATTTAAAATTTAACAAAAACACTCTATCCACCCAACTGATTGTCGGTAACCGACCACCATGTTGAACGGTGGTCGAAAGTCGTCAGAATGGTGCATGACCGACTGGATCTAGTAAAAAATAGACAGTTCAGTGCATGATTGGTCAGATCCGATCGATCGTGCATCGTTACGATGTCGACAGCCAACGATGGCAGCGACGATGGCTGGCGGTTGGTGGTGGTTGTTGGTGAGCGAGTGTTACTTGGATGGGTGACAGTATTTTTGCTAATTTATAAACTTTTATTGAAAAAGTTAATTGTTAAATGTTTTGAATCGAATAAAATATGATTAAATTTTGAAGAATATTAAAACAAACATATTTTTTATTGTTCAGGATAAGATAGTAGGATAAAATAGGGTTGGGAAAGTTAAACGAAGAAGAGTATATATCTTTAAAATAAAGTTTAATATACAATTGAATAGACCTGTTTTCAGTTATAAACGTGACGTTACCGTGGTAACAATGATCAATTAGGCATAGTTAACAGTAACCATACCGTAATGACAGCCTTTAAAAGGAGTAACGCATACCACTATTCACCATGCTCAAACAGCCATCAGCCATGGCAGTCCTACTTGTCTCTCTCACCGTCTCTCACTAGTCTCTCCTTCCCCCCCCCCCCCCCCGCCCTCTCTCTCTCTCTCCATTCCCTTCTCAATCTCAAATCAGATACTCAAAAATCCGATCTTTTTTCCCAATTTCTTCCCTTTTCCTAGATCTAAAATTTTGCATTTACCCCCGAATTCCACCTTTTCTTTCTCTTTTCACTAGTCTTTTTCCTCACTTTTACGCCTGGATCTTTAAACCTTTTCGCCATGGACGAAACCAACAAGTTTTACAACGTGGGGTTGCTCGTTGTGGCCACCATTGTTGTGGCCAAGCTCATTTCTATGCTCATTATGCCCAGATCCACCAAACGTTTGCCCCCAGTGATAAAGTCTTTGCCTTTGATTGGTGGGCTCGTGCGGTTCTTGAAAGGACCCATTGTGATGCTCCGTGAGGAGTATCCAAAACTGGGGAGTGTCTTTACTGTGAACTTGGTGAATAGAAAGATTACTTTTTTTATTGGCCCTGAAGTGTCAGCTCACTTCTTTAAGGCCTCGGAATCCGACTTGAGTCAGCAGGAAGTTTATCAGTTTAATGTGCCGACTTTTGGCCCTGGAGTTGTGTTTGATGTGGATTATTCTATAAGGCAGGAGCAGTTCAGGTTCTTTACTGAGGCTCTAAGAGTGAACAAGTTGAAGAGTTATGTAGATCAGATGGTTGCAGAAGCTGAGGTATAATTTGTTTGCTTTTGAAGGGGTTGTGTTTTTGTTAATATGTTTCTGGCTGGTTTGTGTTTTGAAGGGTTTCATTGTTGTTAAGTATGTTGTTAGTTAAAGATTTGTGACTATCATATGAGGTAGAAATTGTTGGGTTTTGATGGGATTTTGGTTTTAGTAATATGTTTCTGGTTAGTTTGTGTTTTGAAGGTTTTTTTTATTTTTATTTTTTGTGTGTTAAGTTATTTGTAACTTAAAGATTTGTGATTGTCAGAAGGTATAAATTGTTGATTTTTGATGGGGTCTCGTGTTTTTGGATTGTGTTCTTATTGATATGTTTCTGGTTGGTTTGTGTTTATATTGATAAGTTTCTGGTTGGTTTGTGTCTATATTGATATGTTTCTGGTTGGTTTGTGTTTTTATTGATATGTTTCTGGTTGGTTTATGTTTTGAAGGGGTTTAGTGTTGTCAGGTAAATTGTTGCTTGAAGATTTGTGGCTGTCATATTCAGTAGAAAGTGTTGAGTATTGATGGGATTTTGTTTTGGACTGTGTTTATGGTGTTCTTATTGATATGTTTTTGGTTTATTTGTATGTGTATAAGGAGTTCTTGAAGGATTTTTATGCTGTTATATAGGTTGTTATGTTTTGGTTTGCATCAAGCATATATTTTTTTGATTGATTTGTATGTGTATAGGAAGACCATAAAGGGCTTTCTCATGCTGTAGCTTCAAGATTTTTGACTATTATTTGCAGTTTTTGTTAACTCAAGTTGACCCAGTAATTTAGTATTTAATAGGAAAGTTTGATTAATGTTAATTAAAACTAAGAAAGAGGTTGGCGATATTAGCCTGGGAGTGAATTACTTTCCATTTGCATTGGATGATCTCTTTCAAAATGTGATGAAAATATTTATTCAAAAGGTAATTATATACTAAACTGTTGTGTATTTTGAATGTGACAAATCAAAGTTTTTACTTGTGTTTATTGTGTTTTTTCTATGTTTTTGGTTGACTTGTATGTGTATAGTAAGGCCCTGAAGGGTTTTTTTAGTGTTGTTAGGTTAGTTGTACTTTCAAGACTTCTCACTATTATACACAGCTTTGTTTAACATCAAGTAGACACTTTAGTTTAGAATTTCATTTCAGTGTAAGCCTCCCCAGCTGTCATGGATGAAGTTGCCATGTTAACCAAAACAACAAAAGAGGTTGATACTGTTACCTCGGGAGCAAACTATTTGTCATATGCTTTTGGTGATTTCTTGTAAATTGTGATGAAAATATTTATGCAAGAGGTAATTTCAACTAAAAGGAAAATACTAATTAAATAGATAGTTAGATAATTGCATGGACTTGATTTAGTTGGAATAGTTTTTGCCATAATTTTATATATGTTTTTTTTTTTGGTGGAAATCTGTTTGCATTTTGAATCATTAACCAGTGTCTGTCGTTTTCCACATTCAATTAAGAAAGTGAGTATTAGCTGTCTCAGATGTTTAGCTGTTTCAGATTTTGATTCCTTCTTAGTTAATATAACACTTATATGTCTGAATAGAGACACAGTGCGTTGTTGTGTCCATATGAATCATGTGTCCGCTTTTTAGCTATGCTGAGCATAGATTCGACACTAAGTGGCTTCCCTATTAGTTGTTGATTACCAAGAAGAAGCCTTTTTAGGGTACAGAAAATGCTTACTAAAATGGTGTTGTTTGGCATTTAGATTGCCTCGTTGTGATGGATTTGTTTGTGCAGTGCAGATTACTGCTGTACTTCAGATGTGCAGTGACTTCCAAGTTCTTTTATTTCCTAAATTATTTTGAGTGTACCAACACTTTGTTCTAATTTTTGTCTCTTCATAATGGGATTCGGCAGGATTACTTCTCAAAATGGGGAGACAGCGGTGAGGTGGACCTAAAGTACGAGCTGGAACATCTGATCATCTTGACAGCCAGTAGATGTCTCCTTGGTCGGGAAGTTCGTGATAAGCTTTTTGATGATGTGTCTGCCTTGTTCCATGACCTTGACAACGGAATGCTCCCTATTAGTGTTCTTTTCCCATACCTGCCAATCCCAGCTCACCGCCGCCGTGACCGGGCTCGTAAGAAGCTTGCAGAAATTTTTTCTAGCATCATTTCTTCCCGTAAATGTGCTGGAAAGTCAGAAAACGACATGTTGCAGTGCTTCATCGAATCAAAGTACAAAGATGGCCGCCCAACAACTGATTCTGAGATCTCTGGCTTACTCATTGCCGCACTTTTTGCTGGACAACACACCAGCTCAATCACCTCCACTTGGACAGGGGCTTATCTCCTAAAGAACAAGCAATTCCTGTCTGCTGTGGTTGAGGAACAGAAAAACCTGATGGGAAAGCATGGGAAAAAAATCGATCATGATATCTTATCTGAGATGGACACTCTATACCGATGCATTAAGGAAGCCCTGAGACTCCACCCTCCACTAATCATGCTTCTTCGCAGTTCACACAGTGACTTTAGTGTGACAACCCGAGAGGGGAAAGAGTACGACATACCAAAGGGACACATTGTTGCAACATCACCAGCATTTGCAAACCGACTTCCTCACATTTACAAGAACCCAGACACTTACGATCCTGACAGGTTTTCTCCTGGAAGAGAAGAAGACAAAGTGGCTGGGGCATTCTCCTACATTTCCTTCGGTGGTGGTCGACATGGGTGCCTTGGCGAACCCTTTGCATACCTGCAGATAAAGGCCATATGGAGCCATCTATTGAGGAACTTTGAATTGGAGCTGACATCACCATTCCCTGAGATTGACTGGAATGCAATGGTGGTTGGTGTGAAAGGGAAGGTGATGGTGCGGTACAAGCGGAAGGAACTTTCTGTTTGATTAGCAGGAAAATCTTAGTGGATAAGTTGGCAGGTTTAAAGTTGTTATTGCATGTTCTTTAGGATGTTATAACCCTCTTCACTAAGGTTTTGTTTAACTCATCTGCTACTTGGTACCATTTCTTATGTGTTATTGAAGTTCTTGTCTCTTTGGTATTGGATTCTAGCCTTTGTTTTTGTGCATTTGTGATGGTCATTTAATTTTAGCTTGTAGTAGTGCTTAGGTTTTTCTTCAATTACAACTCCCAAAACTAGGGATTTGGTATTGTTGAAATTTGAAAACCGTTCTATGCAATGAACTATCAATGATCATCAACGCCTAAGGAAAAGAGAATTTATAGGACATCAAATGTACGTACATCTATCTAATCTTTACACAACTTGCTTGGTCGGATGTATAAGAAAAAGTAGTATTTTTGATATCAGATGGATATAATCTTCGATACATTTACTGCATGTGTTTTCGTCTAATTTTTTATATATAAGAAAAGGTAGGATCTTCAAAACATCTATGTATGTGTGTTCTTCTAATCTTAAGATCTATGATATACATGTACATTGAGGTAGCATAATTTGATCATTCGCAAAATAACAAATATTTATTTCAATATATTGAATGTGCATAGATTAATCTAATTCAGAGAAGAATGATATACATGTGGATCATATGTGTTGACATGTGATTTTGACACTAATGAAATATGCACATGGAAATTGTTGTGAGTTTACACGTGAGATGATTATGGTGAGTGTTTGTGATGAAGTGATGATACGTACTTGAAGAAATGTAAATAACAAGTTGACAAGAGAGTTTTTTAAAATGATTCGGATGCTATGAACAAATCTTACATCCACTGTGGTTGGATTAATGACTTTCTCTTTGATTGTTACCGGAACGTACAAAGAGAGTGATTACTCGAGATTATAAGATCAAAGTGTTTTAAGAGAATGACAATCCAATCTCTTTCTAGTAGTGTTTCTTTTCTATTTTTTCTGTAAATCAGTGTGTATCTAAACTCCTCTTTGAGGAGGGGAGCTGTTTATTTATACTCTTTTTCAGCCCAATGTAATGAATATTTTTGCTAAGTTATCCCGATTTGGTGAAAATCTTCCTTTATCTTGATTTGTTGAGATCTTTCATTTTTATCCTTCAATTTAATGAAGTTGAGATAGTTGGCTGTACAAAATATCCCCCTTAGTCGGTTTAAGGTTCAAATAGCTAATATGGTTTTGTTCTTAAGTGCTTGCTGAATCCTAGTTGGTGGAGATGCTTGCGGAGTTTCCATTGGTGGAAATGCTTGCTGAGTTCTTATTGGTGGAGATGATATCAATATATTATCTTGACACAACAATACGTATAATANCCCTCCACTAATCATGCTTCTTCGCAGTTCACACAGTGACTTTAGTGTGACAACCCGAGAGGGGAAAGAGTACGACATACCAAAGGGACACATTGTTGCAACATCACCAGCATTTGCAAACCGACTTCCTCACATTTACAAGAACCCAGACACTTACGATCCTGACAGGTTTTCTCCTGGAAGAGAAGAAGACAAAGTGGCTGGGGCATTCTCCTACATTTCCTTCGGTGGTGGTCGACATGGGTGCCTTGGCGAACCCTTTGCATACCTGCAGATAAAGGCCATATGGAGCCATCTATTGAGGAACTTTGAATTGGAGCTGACATCACCATTCCCTGAGATTGACTGGAATGCAATGGTGGTTGGTGTGAAAGGGAAGGTGATGGTGCGGTACAAGCGGAAGGAACTTTCTGTTTGATTAGCAGGAAAATCTTAGTGGATAAGTTGGCAGGTTTAAAGTTGTTATTGCATGTTCTTTAGGATGTTATAACCCTCTTCACTAAGGTTTTGTTTAACTCATCTGCTACTTGGTACCATTTCTTATGTGTTATTGAAGTTCTTGTCTCTTTGGTATTGGATTCTAGCCTTTGTTTTTGTGCATTTGTGATGGTCATTTAATTTTAGCTTGTAGTAGTGCTTAGGTTTTTCTTCAATTACAACTCCCAAAACTAGGGATTTGGTATTGTTGAAATTTGAAAACCGTTCTATGCAATGAACTATCAATGATCATCAACGCCTAAGGAAAAGAGAATTTATAGGACATCAAATGTACGTACATCTATCTAATCTTTACACAACTTGCTTGGTCGGATGTATAAGAAAAAGTAGTATTTTTGATATCAGATGGATATAATCTTCGATACATTTACTGCATGTGTTTTCGTCTAATTTTTTATATATAAGAAAAGGTAGGATCTTCAAAACATCTATGTATGTGTGTTCTTCTAATCTTAAGATCTATGATATACATGTACATTGAGGTAGCATAATTTGATCATTCGCAAAATAAAAAATATTTATTTCAATATATTGAATGTGTATAGATTAATCTAATTCAGAGAAGAATGATATACATGTGGATCATATGTGTTGACATGTGATTTTGACACTAATGAAATATGCACATGGAAATTGTTGTGAGTTTACACGTGAGATGATTATGGTGAGTGTTTGTGATGAAGTGATGATACGTACTTGAAGAAATGTAAATAACAAGTTGACAAGAGAGTTTTTTAAAATGATTCGGATGCTATGAACAAATCTTACATCCACTGTGGTTGGATTAATGACTTTCTCTTTGATTGTTACCGGAACGTACAAAGAGAGTGATTACTCGAGATTATAAGATCAAAGTGTTTTAAGAGAATGACAATCCAATCTCTTTCTAGTAGTGTTTCTTTTCTATTTTTTCTGTAAATCAGTGTGTATCTAAACTCCTCTTTGAGGAGGGGAGCTGTTTATTTATACTCTTTTTCAGCCCAATGTAATGAATATTTTTGCTAAGTTATCCCGATTTGGTGAAAATCTTCCTTTATCTTGATTTGTTGAGATCTTTCATTTTTATCCTTCAATTTAATGAAGTTGAGATAGTTGGCTGTACAAAATATCCCCCTTAGTCGGTTTAAGGTTCAAATAGCTAATATGGTTTTGTTCTTAAGTGCTTGCTGAATCCTAGTTGGTGGAGATGCTTGCGGAGTTTCCATTGGTGGAAATGCTTGCTGAGTTCTTATTGGTGGAGATGATATCAATATATTATCTTGACACAACAATACGTATAATAAAGGGGTAGAATTTTCAAAACATCTGATACATGTGTATTCGTCTATTCTTGAGATCCATGATATACATGTATACTAATGTAGTATAACTTAGTCTGATACATAAAGAAAAAACAATGTTAGGTACATTTGAATATACGTGGATTCGTCTAATTTTGAGACATAACTTGATTGATTGATTGTACATGTATCTTGACTACAACAATTTTTTGCTTAAGGATTGGGCTTGGAGAAAGTAAGAAGCAAATAGGAAATAATCTCTGATTCTCTATGCTGTGCATCACTAATAATTAAGGGATACCTTTGATACATTATCAACCCATAAATGTTTTGGCATATGGTAACATCATACATGATAGTTATGGCATGATAACATAAAGGATAATAATACATTTATAACCCAACTCACAAACTTTCTCTTACAATCCCGACGTGACAGCTCGCAAATAAGTCCCACTTGTCCAAGTGCGAGTTGTCACATCAGATTTGTAAAAGAAAGTTTTGAAGATTGAGTTGTGAGCCGATCTTTATCCTAATGTAAAATATCCAACTTTGAGTAGGCTTAAAGTTCATTGTTATGATATTTTAATTTATACTGTATACATATACAAAATTCGTTACTCAAAACCATTGTTTTAAAAATCGGACCGCTTCTTGACCCGGTCAAGGGACCGGTTCCCGAGTTGACCGATCCAACCGGTTGGACTGGTCGGTCTAACCGATATATAACAGATACATCTCCAAATAATTAATCAGTCCTTATAAGTTTAAAAACCTACAAATACACTCCTAAAATTTATCCATGAGTCCCTATAAGTTAGAAATAACCTGCAATTTTTACTATTAATTATTTTTTTTCTCTCTCTATTAGAGCTGGTCAAAGACCAGTCCCAAGCAGGCCCGAGCCTAGGCCTGTTTGGGACTGGTCCCAAATGGGACCAGTCGCTCATGGGCCTAGGCATGAGCAATTTTAGGACCCAGACCGATCCTATGGGCCTGAAAATTTTCTTTTTCCCCCCTGATTTTTTTTTATTTTAGGGGCAAAATGAAATTTTGTAAGGGGTAAAATTTATAAATTTTTCAAGACCTGGAAAATTTTTTTTTTGTTAAATTTTGTAAAATTTTATTTTAACGCCTATAATTTATGTTTATTTTAAAATTTATAGGGGGTTTTATGTAATCGTACAAGGGATTTAAACAAATATTTTAAAAAAAATTTGGGCCCAGACCTGGGACCTTGGAGGAGGTCCCAGTAGAGGGACTGAGCCCTCCTCCTTAGGCCTGGTCCTAATGGTACCAGGCCTCCTAGGACCGGGTTTTTGGACCCAGTCCCAAATGCCCACCTCCACTCCCGATCACTTTCATCTTTCTCCTTTTCTTCTCTCTTCCCATCACTTTCATCTTTCTCCTTTTTTCTCTCTCCCCATCAATTTCTTCTGTCCCGTCACTTTCTTCTTTCTTCTATCCCTTACCCCTCTTTCTCCTATAACTTTTTTTTCTCTTCTCTTTCTTCTTCCTTCCTCTTTCTCTTTGTCTCCTCTTTTATTTCTTCTAATCCTCTTCCTTCCTCTATTCTTCTTCGTCTCCTCTTCTCTTTCTTCTAATCTTCTTTCTTCCTCTATTCTTCTTGCTTACTCTTTCTCTTCATCTCCTCTTCTCTTTCATCTTCCTTCCCCTCCCCTTACTTCTTCTTCTTTGCACGGTAGATTTTAGAGTAAATGAAGAAGAATAGAAGAAGAAAATGGAAGATAAAATTTGGTCTTTGGAGATGAGAATGGTATTGAAATGAAATGGAGAATGCTTGCTGGCTCAATGAAATGGAGAATGAAACGGTGCGACAAATCTGGTTTAGGAATTAAGGATCAAATTAACCCTAAAATAGTGAACCGGTTTAAGCTTCGAACTAGTCGAATCGATGGTTTTGTACTGTTCCACCAGTCTGTTACCGGTTCAAAGCGGGTTGTATGTTATTTCCGGTTTTTATGTTAACTCAAACCAGAGTTAAGGCTAAGTCTCGATTGGACCGACTGGTTCGGTCTGGGTTTTAAAACAGAGCTCAAAACGTGATAATATTAATTACCATATATATATTAGATTTATCTATAGAACATTATTTCCGTCGAATGGATAAATACAACAGTGTTAAGCATGTCCTAGACAATATTTTTAAACCCGACCTAGGCCTTGACTCGGTCAAGGCATCGGTCCTCTTGTTGAGCAGTCTGACCGGTTGGTCATACCGGTAATGCCAACATATCTATCAAGTTTGAAATCTAGCAAACACACCCCTAAGAAATTGCATGTTAGTCCCTACATGTTTGAAATCCAACAAACACACCCATGTGATATGGCCAGGAAACCCTAGCCGTTGCAACTGCAATCCATCCCAGATCAGCCCCAATCTTTTTTCGGTCGTTTCGATGCCCACTTGCTTTTTCCAACCCTCCAGACACCGCCTAAACATTTTCCATACTCCATTTCCATCGATTTCCAGTTGATCAACATCGCTCGCACAACCCCACCTTGTAGTCGTCAATGCCAACACCACCTTTAGCTTCCTCTTCACCTCGTCCCTTCATAATTTCGAACATCGACCTCCTCGACCCACCTACAATAACTATCAGCCATCAATTCTCTGACTTGATGGTTGAACCATCGGTTCAACATTGTTATGCTGGCTCAACCACAGGTCAATCCGGGCTAATGATTGAAACCGGGTTTAGGGTGTCAAGGACCAAAGAAGAGGCTGGTCGACGATTGGAGTGATTGAATCAATCTATCTAGTTCAAATTTTAAAACATTGGTTCTAAATAATTTATTACTCACTTTTTTTTCTTCTAATTATTTAGAATTTAATATAAAATAATTACAAATCTAATTAAAATCATATGTGACTTTACAGACCAATATTGTATCGGTGCATTGGAACCATATATTATACACGAAATAGTTTTATAAGTACATCTATAGCTTCATAAAAATCACATAATATCAAACACGGGATCTGAATCAAAGTTTTATTGTATAGTATTTATAAAATAATGTTATATACTATTATATAAAATAATGCTTATGCATTATATTATAGTGATAATTAATTTAAATTAAACCTGGGCCCAAAGGCCCGCGTTTTAGCATCCCTAAATCTACACTCAAAAGATTTAGCAGAATAGCCTGAAACACAAATGTTTTTGAGAGTGGAAAAAATGTATTAACATAACATAAAACTAAAATGCAAGCTGAGCTTTTAGGATACAGTGAATGATAGCAGTAAGTTGAAGAACAGATACATCAAAATTTTGACAAAAGGCAGGTTGTTTAAATTTTCGTATTCTGGCAGTCGAAAACGCCACATATTATGATGATATTTCATCTCTAAAATTGATCGAAAATTATGATGAAACAGTGCTACTTTTCTAAAATGAAGATGTTTCAAAAATGGCTCCCTTGGTTTGTAATCATCTTCCAGCTATCTGAATTTTGTAAGGAGAATCAACTGATGAAAAATTATGCAATTTCTTTTTTGGTATGAAAGCGAATGAAGAAAAACTAACCTTGATTTTTCAGATAGTGCCAATGAAGCATGCGGAAGTAAACAAACTATTTGTTTGGTATGATTTTGAGCAGCTCGATATCAAACAGCAGAGTCTTGTCTATCAGCCCTTGGTTCCTCAGCACAAAATCCAAAGCTCGTTGGCCCTGTAGAACAAGATATCGTTAACCCTCGCATAAAGAGAAGCAATATTATACAAGATATCAAAACGCTTGATTATTACTGAAAATGTAGTTGGTCTTGGGCCACTTTTGTTGTAGTCATTCTCAGGATATCCCAGTTCTGGGGGCACTATGATCCTGCATCACTGTGAAGTAAAATGTGAAATTTGCACAGGATGTGTATGCACAGAAATGCAGAATAGTAATAATTCTCTTCTACTTCCTCATCAAGGTCAAAAATTAAAACTAGTAAAACACCTGTGTAACAACCTCAGGAAGTTCAGTAGTTACCAGAAGAACATCAATGCAGTAAAAAAGTAAATTAGTTGATAAAGCTAGGATTAACTAGAACCTATGATAACATCAAAATGCATGGGTCTAGCATCTCGCCTTTTTTAGGATAAAAAAGCTGAGTGCACACGAACATAGCAAAACTAAAGGTAAGACACACTTAAATTTTACATGATCTGCTTGAAAGTATGTGAATGTGTATATGCTTGCATGTTGACCGTTTCCAATTTATAATTGATTGAAATTTTTCATCTAATTTAACAAAGACTATATGTTTCAGAGAAACATTTGCCGCACCTTCTAACGCCACCAAGAGCCATGCCTGAAACTGCTTCCTCAAAAGCCGGAATTACCTGAAATTCAAGAAACAGGCAGCACCATTAGCAGCTGCTGTTCCAACCACCAAGTATCATGCCACTAAGAAAACAAGTAGAACATATAATAAATTTATAGGACTATATTGTTGGTGATATTCATCTAAAACCCCAACCTCTGTGGTTGACTATGCACTTGACTTAATATGTGAAACCTCATAGAAGCATGAATGTGTAGCAGGAAGAAAGACTTCAAAAGCACTTAAAACTAGAACAAACAAAAGACATAAAGAGTATAATCTCCACTCCATCATATCAGAGTACAACATTAACAATCTTTAGCCTTTGGAAAGGGAAATAATTTCACCTCTTGAGATCCAAGCCTAAATTTGAAAAAGTCCTTGTCATCTCCCTACAAATTGCAAACCACGGAAGATTTTATTTTTATCAAGTATTGTAGAGTAAGATCTAGCAGAAGAATGACAAGCTTTCATACCACAAAGGAGCCACCCTTAGTTTTGTTTCGAGCTTCAAATATGCGGCCATAGTATCCTATGGTGTAACCATCCCAATCAACCTAAAACACATTCATAGTTCGCAAACTGATTGCATAGCTCCAACTTGGAATAAGACAAAGCACCCATAAAGAAACTATTATCATTTTTAAAGATATTCAGATTCTGAAGCATAAATTGTTCGGTTTTTCAACCAGAAATAATCAAAGCTAACAAATTTACAACTGGATTGTTGTAGAGCCAACTTTATAATGTTTGGCTAATTTTAAAGATACTTCCAGGAACAGGTAAAGCCATTCATAGAAACATTATGATATCTCCTTACCACAACTGTCTCTCCCATCTTTGGTGTAGGTCCACTTCCTAGTCGCAAGTCCTGCATTCTTTTTAGTTTGAAATTAACCAAGTAATTAAACCATAATGCTTGTACATATAAACATGTATGGAGGGTGTTGGATGAAGTCTTCAATGGGTAACCTTATATTGAAGACCTGAGTCTGTTTCTGTATAGTCAGGATACCGCATCTTCGTCTTGCCATAATCCTTCCCCCTAAGTGCTGGCACTGCATGTATCAAATGGAGTACTAAAAGTAAGTCCTTGCAGCTATTGTATGTCATATGCCAATTTACAGAATCTATAATACAGATAGATAAGAATGCAGTATAAGAACCAAGAAAATTGCTGAAGTTACCATTAAATCAACCCAGTTATTGGATGATGTGTAGAAACTTTATTTTAGAGGACATGAATGAACAATCATAGTACTAACACTTGCTCATTATAAGAAAGGTGATGGTATACTAAAAGATAGATAAGGTAGTACTGCTATCATCTCATAACACCTGCTTAACTTATTCTGACAATTTATTACTACTGAAGGGGAACAAATTCAAACCATATATAATATTCCTTCAATTAAAGAAAGTACAAGTGCTACTTTAAATCGCCAGAAAATTTTCGCACACATTATTAATCATCACAGAACACAGAATAAATTCAAACCATATATATATTCCTTCATTACAGACAAGTACACGTGCTACTTTTCAACAGAAACAGACCAAGGGCGCACACAATAATTATCATCCACAGAACCCACAGAATGAATTGGAATTAATAACGGGATAAAAGATCGTTACTAATCAGTATTCAGCCGCAAGCATCTCTCCATTCATTGGTAATTGCACAAGGCTCCATCTATTACGCCCAATGGACGATATCAGCACTTGTCTTCGGGGGTTCATGTCTCGTATCGTACTTGGGTATTACTTTCACCTACACAGCAAAATCCAATATTTCATCAAGAACTCAAATATAGTCCCATTAAGTTTTATAGCAAAATCACAAGATATCCTAACCAAAATGATTGTGCTAGGTTTAAACCCTCACAATAACATTTTTTATTTTTTATGAAATAGTAAACCACGAGTTTGTGTTATTGACCAAAATAACTTCAGTCTTGTACAAATAGGGCCGCAAGACAGAAAGGCCAAAAACGACAACGAAACTACCCACATCAGTATGCTAATCTCTTGGGTCGCATCAAGTAAGAATATCTCCTCAATTTACTCTTAGGCAAAATGTGTCGTAAAGAAAGCAAAAGAAACAATAATGCTATTTAATATCCGCCTTCACAGTCGCGCTTTAGATGACTAAACTTCGGGACGCCTAAATGCCATACGTACTCAGTTGGGTCAAAAACCTACTCCCCAAAAACTTGGCTTGTATGGAAGCATGTGCAGGCTTGTTGATTTACAAACCTTAAAGCCCCATGGCCATAGTCTTGCTTGTTGATGCCGGACTTGGTTCGGTTGATGTGAGTCTTTTTTTTTTTTTTTTTTTTTTTTTTTGTTTTAATGAAATACCAACCTACAACCGTTTGATTATTCCAACTAACTTAAATTCATTCTAACCAAATATGCCGCATAAAAGATTCCAAAAACCACACGAGCAACCCCCTCACTGGTCAAATTTTCTTGGTTGCCGTCACTAAGATATCTAATCAATTTAAGTCTAATCCAAAATGTCGCTAGAACCTGAAAAAGATCTACAAATGCACTCCATATCAGTGTTTAAAGTTGCCTTTCGATGAAATACAGCTTCGTTATGCCTATTTGACAATATCTACTCTGTTGGATCAAGACCCTGAGTCAACTCAAAACATCGGCTTATAGGAAGACTTGCCAGTGCTTGTAAGCCCTATAGCCAAGTCTTCGCTTGGTGATGCGGAACTTACACGGGTTGTTACACGTTCCATGAATCACCTTGTTTGATCAATCATCAACTTAACTTAATTAACTTAAGTTTGAGCCATAACTTTCTTACAGAAAGCTAAAAGCCCAATTTAACTACCCACATGAACATTAAAATACAAAGCAATAAATTTGTGAAGCAAATAAGATTGGATGGGAAATCACGCTAACCCCACGAAGCAGAACAGCAAACTCTATGTGGGTTCTGGAGGACTGAGCTCTGCTCCATTTTCTGGAACATTAAACACCAGAGTATTCTCAATTGAATTCGAAAGTATCACTTTGAAATAATAACCAATAAAAAAACATAAAGTAAACTACTGGCGTACCGTAAATGAGGTTTGTGAGGATGTAGAACTACGGAGATCCAGAGCTGAATGGAGCATTGAAAGAGAGAGAGAGAGTGTCTCGCGGTCAAGATACTTCCTCCGCTTTTGGTCTAAACCCTCTCCCCCCCCCCAAACTTTTTATTTTTTGTTTGAGAGACACCTTATGAATGGGGGGGACGGAAAAAGGACGAGTGAAAAGTACCACAACTGTCTCTCCCTCTTGGGGGTAGGTCCACTTCCTAGTCGCAAGTCCCTGCATTCTTTTTAGTTTGAAATTAACCAGTAATAAACCATAATGCTTGTACATTAAACATGTATGGGGGGTGTTGGATGAAGTCTTCAATGGGTAACCTTATATGAAGACCTGAGTCGTTTTCTTGTATAGTCTGGATACCGCATCTTCGTCTTGCCATAATCCTTCCCCCTAAGTGCGTCACTGCATGTATCAATGGAGTACTAAAAGTAGTCCTTGCAGCTATTGTATGTCATATGCCAATTTACAGAATCCTATAATACAGATAGATAAGAATGCAGTATAGAACCAAGAAAATTGCTGAAGTTACCATTAAATCAACCCAGTTATTGGATGATGTGTAGAAACTTTATTTTAGAGACATGAATGACCCATCATAGTACTACCACTTGCTCATTATAAGAAAGGTGATGGTATACTAAAAGATAGATAGGTAGTTACTGCTATCATCTCTAACACCTGCTTAACTTTCTGACAATTTATTACTACCTGAAGGGGAACATTCAAACCATATATAAATTCCTTCAATTAAAAAAGTACAAGTGCTACTTTAAATAACAAAAAATGGCGCACACATGAATTAATCATCACAGAACACAGAATAAATTCAAACCATATATAATATTCCTTCAATTAAGAAATACACGTCTACTTTAAAACAGACAGAAAAATGGCCACACATGAATTAATCATCACAGAACACACAGAATATTGGAATTAATAAAGGGATAAAGATCGTTACTATCAAATTCAGCCGCAGCAGCTACTCCATTCATTGGAGAATTGCACAAGGCTCCAGCTAGTACTCCAATGGACGATATCAGCACTGTCTTCGGTCAATGTCTCGTATAGTACTTGTGGGATTACTTTCACCTACAACAGAAAAATCCAATATTTCATCAAGAACTCAAATATGTCCCTTAGTATTTAAGCAAAATCACAAGATATCCTAGACCTAAACTGATTGTGATAGGTTTAACAATCCACTAACATTTTTTATTTTTTATGAAATAGTAACCAACAAGTTTGTGTATTCTGACCAAAATTAAATCAGTCTTGAACCAAATATGCAGCAAGAAAAAAAGCCAAAAACCTACACCAAACTACCCACATCAGTTATCTAATCTCTTGGGTCGCAGCAAGTAAAATATCTCCTCAATTTACGTCTTAGGCCAAAATGTGGCGTAAAGAAGAAAAGACCACACTAAATGCTATTTATACCGCATTCAAAGTCGGCTTTAGTAATAACTTCGGGGACGCCTAAAGGGACAATATCTACTCAGTTGGTCAAAACCTAACTCACCCAAAACTTGGCTTGTATGGGAAGCATGTGCAGTGCTGTTGAATTTAAAACACTTAAAGCCCATTGCCCAAGTCTAGCTTGTTGATGCAGGCCTTGGTTCGGTTGTGTGAGGTCTTTTTTTTTTTTTTTTTTTTTTTTTTTTTTTTTAAGAATAACCAAACCTACAAGTTTTATTATTCCAACTAAACATTAAATTCAGTCTTAAACCAAATATGCAGCATAAAGAATTCCAAAAAACCACAACGAAAGCAACCCACATCACATTCAAATTTCTTGGGTTGCCGCTACTAAGAGTATCTAATCATATTTAGTCTTAAGCCAAATGTGGCATAAAGAAGCTGAAAGAGCCTAACAATGCATCCATATCAGTGTTTAAAGTTGCCTTTTCGATGAATACAGCTTCGTGTATCCTAATTGACAATATCTACTCTGTTGGATCAAGACCCTGAGTCACACTCAAAAAATCGGCTTATAGGAAGCGTGCCAGTGCTTGTAAGCCCTATAGCCAAGTCTTAGCTTGGTTGGCGGACTTAAACGGGTTGTTACACAGTTCCATAGAAATCACCTTGTTTAATACAATCATCAACTATAACACTAATAACTTAAGTTTGACCTAAACGTGTCTACAGAAAGCTAAAAAGGCCCCAATTTAAACTACCCACTGAACATTAAAAGACAAAGTAATAAATTTGAAGCAAATAATATTGATGTGATCAGCTAACCCCACGAACAGAACAGCAGAATCTATGTGGGTTCTGGAGGACTGATCTCGCTCCATTTCTGGAACTTAACACACAGAGTATTCTCAATGTGAATTCGATAGTAAGCACTTTGAAAAAATAAACAAATAAAAAAACATAGAACGCCTGCGTACCGGAAATGAAGTTGGAGGACGGAAAAGAAGGGATCCAAGAGCTGAAATGGAAGCCATTGAAAGGAGAGAGAGGAGTGTCTCGCGGAAGATAACGGCCTCAGCTTTTGGTAGCCCTCTTCACTTTTTATTTTTTTGTTTGAGAAGGAAACCTTATGAAACTAATTATTATAATTATTAATTATTAATTTTCTTTTAATTTACATGTGAAAGTATTAAATAAGACATGATTGAATGACCGCTTTTATAAGTTTGTTACAGGAATTGGAAGCTAATGAGATTCCCATATTAGACTTAATTTAACAAAATAAGCTGAGTAAATTAACCTAAGTTGTAATTAAATTTTTAAGAGTAAGTGGTTCAGATAAATATAGGAATAATAAGAACTGTAGAGGAAAAGGATAAACTCATATTCAATAATGCTAGAGTTTTTTGATAGGTTTAATATTTCAAAGATTTTTAACAATTTTCGAAATCTTAAGAGCTTGAGACTTAATAAAAGAAACCTTATTTGTATTCAACTGAAAAAGAAAATGTTTGTCATCATATACAACCAGTTCATATTATTCATATATAATATGTTTAACCAAGAAATATAACTCTCTCTAGCATGTATAATTACAATTTGCATTAGAATATACAATACAAGCTCAAAATGAGAATAACAAATCTTTTACACTTAGGGGACGTTTGGTTGGAGGTTATGTGAGATTATTGGGGTTAAGTCATCTTATATTACTTGATTATCATGTTTGGTTGTCAAATAATATAAGATTCTGATAATCTTCAAATACCAATAGTGGTTACTATTGGTAATATTAGAGGTAATCTGATTACCTCTATTTTCTTAAGTATTGTAAGATTACTTGGGTAATCTTTTTTTTGTTATAATTATATCCCTTATTAATAAAATTTTAGGATAGTAATGCCCTTATTTTTAAATTTATTTACATGAATCTTACTTTTACAATTTCACCCTAATTAATTAACTTTTTAGACAAAATTACCCTTAAAATCAAAACAAATTTCAGTTAACCAAGCCACCACCCCCACCCACCTGCTGCCGCTAGCCAAACCACCATCGGCCGCCGTGGGAAATCGCCGAAAGTCACCTGGAGTTGTCGTGAGCAGCCCACCATAACCGGAAGGCCCCGATATGGCCGTTTTTGGCCATATTGATGGCCGAAACTGATGGGTTTGGTCGTTAACGACCAAACTTAACGACCAAACTCTTGGCCTTTAGTTGCCAGATATGGGCGAGATTTGACCGTTAACAACCAGATCTGCTCCCGATATGGCCTTTTTGGCCATCAATATAGCTAAAAACGGCCATATCGAGGCCTCTCGGACACGATGGGTTGCTCACGGTGACTTTTGGCAGTGGTTTGCGGTGGTGGAAGACAGCGGTAGGGTGGTGGGGGTGAGTTTATTATAAATTAAAGTTTTGTATAAGCAGAGTGTTTTAGCTAAATTTGAAATATTGGGGGTTAAAAAATTAATAATAAAAATAATATTATATTAATATTTAAAAAAGGGGCAATTTAGTAATTTAAATAACATACTCACCAATTTATTCCTCCTAACCAAACATATTAATATAACATACCTACCAATTTATTCTAACTAACCAAATACATTTTCTTAAAGATTCCTAGTAATCTTCAAGATAATATAAGATTCCAGTAATCCAACATTCCATGAACCAAATGCACCCATAGGTGCTAACTAAATAATATTCCATATAATTAATAATTTCTTCAATCTTATTAATTAGTCTTTCGTATATAATGCATGAGATATTATATTTAAATATTTTGCCTCTCTTCAATGATGGTTAAATTTAAAACAAACTATTAAAACATAAATAGCATAATTTATCTTCATGTGAAAATTGAAATATTAGAGGCAACTAATACGGAAAAAGAAATNTACATCAAAACCCTAACCCAAAATAGGTTAGTTCATGTCTAAATCAATAAAACAATTAAAAGAAGTGAAAAATTCCAAGTTCAACATCATGGACACAAGAGAAAAGGAAACGAATCTCCCCAATTGACGAATCCACTGGTTTCACCTCGAATCTTTGCACTTTGTTTAATCCAAAATCACTCAAAAATAAATCTAAGAAAATGTAAAAACTGTTGTTTATCTCTCCACGAACGCCCTAAACAAAAAGACTAAGTATTTTTTTTTATACCTCGCCCAAAATCCTAAAACTTAGCCTAAAAACGAAACTGTGTGTTTTACAAAAACTGGAAAATGCAGACTTCGCCGCGGCGAAGAAGGAATCTCGCCATGGCGATAAAGGAGCTGAATCTGGTGCGTGACTGGCCCATTTCGCCATGGCGAAGAACAACCTTCGCCGCGGCGAAGCTTCCTGAAGAATTCTAAAATTACAGAATTGCCCTCCGCTTGCTTCTGAGTCTAGAAACTCCAAATCTGTCTTTATTTGCTCAAAATGTCCATTTTAACCTGAAACACAAAATGTAAGGAATTAAGTACCAATTTAGGCAAAAATAAACTAAGAAGTATCTAAAATCCGGCCTAAAAGCTTAAATAAACTAGTATAATCCTCGGATTATCACCGTTCACTAGCCTTTCTTTTTGTGCCTAGTGGGGGTGCTCGACTCTGCAAACCTCTATCTTTGTAGCCATTTTCTGATTGCCTCACTCATTCGAAATTCACCCAACCACCTCCATTGGACCCCCCATTCTGCCCTCTTCTAAACCTTTCCCCACATCAGCTTCCCTCACTTATCGTTCGCTGTCCACCAGCCTTTCTTTTACGCCTAGTGGGGTAGTGGGTGGGTGGGGCTTTTCGTCGAGCACTTGGTGTGCGTCTAGGGGAGAAAGCTGCTTGAATGAGTTAGGAATGACAAAAACTCTACAAATTTACACTAAAAAATTACAATCAATCTAAACTTCTCAAAACTACACACAATCAATTATCAATATTTCCCCAAATCTCCAAAATCTACCAATCAAAGCAACTCCACAATCAAACAAACCAAACTTCTCCAAACTTGTAGAGGGGACGGCGAAGGAGGTGATTGTGGGAGAATTTGTGGGAAGAGGGTGAGGTTTTGGTGGTAGATGGAAATGGGTGCTATGGGTGGTGTTTGGGAAGTTCGCTGGCTCCAAGAAACGGCCAAATCGGCTTGAAAATCTAGGAGTTAAAAAATAAATTTTAATTTATTTTTTAAGGGTAATTTGGTAATAGGAGTATCTATACTGTTATCTAATCCAAAAATCATAAACGGTGTTAATTTAAGGGTAGTAATCTGGAATTTATGAAACCAAGGGTGGGAACCTTGAATTTAGCTAACTTTGTGTAGGAACATGTCATTTACTCCATAGAGAATAATTTATTTGTTAATGTTAATAAATGAGTCTTTTTCTTCATTATTTGTGTAGTGCTAGAATTTAGCAAGGGCAAATTGGTCCCATCACATTCGGGGAATCTTCCAAGTATATCCGTAAATTAATATATATTCCCAAATAATTATAATAATTTTATTTTAATGGGATATATCATATTAAAGGGGTAAAGATCAAGGTAAAGTTGCTGATTACATATATCTTAGACTCTATAAAAAAAATAGAGATATCCTAGCATCTCATTACCTTATTAAGCTAATCTTCTACTGTATGAAAACTCTTACTCTAAGAAGGAAACTCCATCCAAGGCAATCTTGTCATGACTGTATAAGGAGCATCTTGCAATAGGTTTGTTAATTTTAAACTAGAAATATATACTTGTTGTTGGCATCTCCTATACTCTATTGACTTGACTGTTAGAGTGCCAACGTCGACAAACTCGTCGGCACACCCACGACCTCTGTTGTTCTGAATCATAGGGTTATCACGACTCCACATCAAATGTTAATTCCCAGAGTCCATGTACCACACTTATCAAGCCAAAGTCAACGATCACAATGACATTTTGAGAATTTCATGCTCGATACAAAATCTTGTATCAATAGCTAACATCGTCTATAGGGATTCCTATAGAAAGTCAATCTTACCGATGAAATGGTGTTGGTAACTTGATCATTGACTCTACTAACAATGTTGTGGACTCCGTCTAATCTTGGTTCTGGATCTAGGTCTAGGCTCTAAAGTCCACAGTATTATTAGGGTTTTCCTAATTTTGCTAATTAGCAGCGTTAGTGGATCGAGTTACGACCACCATTTCGTTGATAAGATTGGCTTTCCGTACTATTCCTCATAGACATTGCCAACTATTGATACGAGATTTTGCACCAAACACGGAATTCTTGTAATGCCCTTATGATGCCCTTGTGATCATTGACTTTGGGTTGATTGGTGTGGTGAATGAACTTTGGATATTAACCTTTTTTATGGAGTCACGATGGCCCTACAATTGGAACAACAAAGGTCAAGGGTGCACCGATGCTTTTACTAGCAATGGCACTCCAAAGCTCATGTCAGTGGAATATAAAAGATGGTAATAATAAGTAATCAAGCAAATAACTTGATTAGGATAGTCTTGAATGCCCAAACTTGAGTTGTGCTGCTCCTTATATATGGTTGAGATGAGTGATTGCTTTGGATTGAGTCTCTTGCTTGGTGATTTTGCGCTAAATCCACATCCTAAATCAATTTTAGTTTACCCTAAAACACGAATCCTAAAATTCTTCCACAATTTCCTCTCAATTTTTTAAAAACCAAGCTAAAGTAGTCTCCAATCTCAGCTCATTCCCACAACCACCAACTATAGTACGAGGTAGGTGGCAGTCAATGAAGAGTGAAGTTATCATTTACATCTACAAAGAGAAATTCAAAATTTGTTTTGGAGAACATGTCGTGTGCTTGTTTCGATTAATAGTTCAAATTCGAAAATGTGCCATAGTTGCCCAAGTCTTTGACTATGAGAGATTTCTCAACGAGTGACGTTTTTTTATGGCTACAAGAGATTGGGACTCTAAAGTTGAGGATATTTAACAAGATGAAGCTGAATCAACTCTCAAATAAGCTTTTTCCCTAAACTTTGAGTCATTATTTGATGATTGGAATCAATGTCAAACATGCAGGGAATA